CTTTTGCCTATTTTTGGCTGGATGACTTGTGGCCTTTTTGCTATAGTGGTGTTGAACTGCAGAAGTTCTTTTTATATTTTGTATGTTCGTTTCATTGAAAAACATAGCATACATGGTTAACAAATATTTTCTTTTGTTCTCTAGATTACATTTCCATCTTGTGGTTACTTTCTTGGCTACACAGTTGATAGCGGCTTGCTAGAACCCCATTGTCTATTTGTAGCTTTTTCACCCAGGGCTTTGAGGGTCATACTCAAGAAAAACCTCCAAATCCAATGTAGCAAAGATTTTTCTATATTTTTTTCTGGAAGTTTTGTTTATAAGCTGTATGTTTTGGTTTTAATCATGTTGAGTCAAGTTTTATAGTATTGTCATAAATAAATACTTGATCAATTTAATTCCTTTCCTTGTAGATGCTTAGTTTTGCCAGGGATATTTTTAAAGGGATTGATCTGCCATCACTGGCATGTCATCATATGTATGGGTTTGTTTCCAGATTTCACCCAATTCCACTGAACTCTGAGTGTGCTTTCCTGCTGTGCTCTGGCTGTCCCTGCATGGTTGTGGACTGCTTTTGGAAGTCAGGACAGCACAGGCCAGCTTTGTAGTATCTTTTTGAGATAGTAGAGATTCCATATACATTTTGGATTTTTTCATTATCTTCTGAAAATGCTTTTGGGGTTTTTATATGGGTGGCATTGAATCTTTTGATCAGTTTAGATGACATAAATATTTTAATAACATTAAACTGATTATCTGATGAATAACATATATCAACATCTTCTTTTTATATTTTTGAGATTTTAATTACAACATTTGTCCCTTCCCTGTCCTCGTTTCAAACTCTACTGTATATTGCTCTCTGCTCCCCTTCAAATTCATGGCCTGTTTTTCACTAAATGTTATTAAATGAATATATATGTATGCATATAAACGTAAACTGTTCTGTCCACATAATGTTACATATCTGTATGTTGTCAGTGCTGACCATTTACTTTGATCAATGTTTATAGTTTTAATGATATAACTTTCCACCTACTTGTTAATTTTATTTGTAATTATTTTACTTTTTTGGTGTTATTATAAAGAGATAACTTGATTTTTTCTTTCATATCATTTACATGAAAACAGCCAAATTTATTTCTTAATGACTAATAGAATTCTCTATTGATGACATATGGTTCTGGGAACATTTTTTGTAGAGATATTTTTGAGTATTGATCAAATCTCCTTAAAAGTTACAGGTCTATTTAGATTCTAAATTTAGTCACAAATAAATCTTGGAATCTAGGAAGGTTTTCATTCTTGGTAATTGTGTCTGCTCATCTGTTTCTAGATCACTCTTAGCAAGGGTCAGTGTGGGATACGCCATGGTAAATCTCTGCACTGCTGCAATTGACCTCAGTGTCTCTCTCATGCATGCAATGCAAGTATTGTGTCATCGGGGCTGCATTCTCAGCCTGCCCAGTGTAAAGCTCAACAGGTGGCTTAGCGAGCTTCATCACAGAGTGCATCCTCACTCACTAACGACTATCACTCTTCAATAGAAGCTCAGTGTCCATCAGAGGTCGCTCACAGAGCAGTGGCCTCCTGTGTGACACGCTGCTTTCCTGTATCCACTCTTCTTGACGTTCAGAAGATGTACTAGGAAGGCTTAGACTTTAATATCTCAAACAAACACCACCAATATCTGCAGTGAAGATCTTACATGACTACTCGAATACAATTTGGAAGGTTTTATCCTGTGTTAAGTTAGCATCTGTGTTTATATTCTACATTCCCAAGGAGAAAAAAAAAGTTAGAAAGGCATCTCCTCAGTTCCCAAAGGAGGAGTATTAGTTGCGCATTCTCTATGCTATAGAGGACTTTCTGAGCCAGGTTTACCATGTCATCTCCTAATCTTGAAAATGTGTGATTTTTAGTTAGAAGGTGAACAGAGAAATGGCGGTGAACAGAGAAAATGGGAAAATGATGCAAGTTGGCTGCAAAGTCACAGTCCTTCCTAGAAAAATAAGCAAAGGCCACTTATTCTTCAAGGAGATGCCATGAGACTATATCTAATCCAGTTTCTGTAGGCACTGCCATCTTGGAGGTGGAGCTGGAACAAGGGAATGGGATGCTTTTATGGATTCAATTAAATAAAAGTTGCTTTTCTCCATTGAGATTAAAGTAAGAACAGAATAAAAAGTTTGAGGTAATTAAGGATCCATGTTGCTATGTTTTCTGTAACAAAATTAGGGTGGTTTTTATTTTTGTCCAAGAACCTTTTTTTTTTTAATTTGGCAGTATTTATCTAATCAACTAGATTTTTAAAAACCTTTAATGTTATGTAAGTCCTGAAGTTAGCTTAAGAGTCAAGAAATACTTTTATTGCAATAAACTTTTATATTTACCCTAAGCATTAACAATGTTCCATGGATTTATTGTTCTCCTATTGAATAATAATATCAAGAAATTAGTACTGTCTTAATAAATACTATTAATCTTCAAATTCCAGGGGAGATAATATTGTTTGTTCTCCAGTAGAGAAAGCTATCTTAGACTGGTTGGAAGCTTCTGGGGGATGGGGACACATGGAGTTTTGAGGCAGGAAAGACACACACACACACACACACACACACACACACGCACGCACGCACACAGAGCACAGCCAGCTAAATTGACCCTGGTGATTAGTGAGTGAACCATAGGGGTATTAGGAGGCCACTTGTTTGTTTCCTGGTTGCCTAGACTTCTGAAATAATCTCACAGAAAGTATATTAATTAAATCATGGCTGGCATATTAGCTCTAGCTTCTTATTAGCTAGCTCTTACATCTTAATTTAACCCATCTCTATTAACCTGTGTGTCGTCACGTGGCTGTGGCTTACTGGCAAGATTCCGTCTGGCATCTGTCTCTAACTACATGGTTTCTCCTTGATTCTCCCTTCTTTCTCCCAGCATTCAGTTTAGTTTTCCCTGCCTACCTCTATTCTGCCCTGCCAGGCCCAAGACAGATTCTTTATTAACCGTTGGTATTCACAGCATACCGAGGGGAATGCCACATCACACCTCCTCTTTTTTTGTCTAAGTAAAAAGGAAGGTTTTAACTTTAACGTAGTAAAATTACATATAACAAAACAGGTGTCAAGCAAAAATTACAGTTACAATATTTATATCTACTTTATCCTCAAACTGTTATGTACATCTTACTGAATGAATGTTCTCACAAAATAAAACAAAAATTATAAGTGAGACAGTTCAGAGAACAAGCCTAAGCTCACATGGTTAGGCCATGATCAGGTCAGAGTTCAAATCTCCATTTTATGACTGACCATGTACAATATACTGTTTCCACAATTCTACTAAGTCTCCAAAGTAAATGTTGTACTTTTTCCTTTATCTATAAAGTTCAGAAATCCAATTTGGCCTTTTATTTGGTTGCCTCTAATGTGATTGGATCATTGCAAACAGTGTGTAATTGTCCACTGGGTTCTGCAGGAGGACTTTGTGAGCACAGCACTTACTCTATAAATACAGGTTAGCTCAACTGAGTTGCATGGTACTAGCCTGTTATTTTATTTCTCTCTGAGCCAAGAACTGCAGTTCCTGCAGTCCCTGAGGCTGAGCCTTGGCCCCTGTGCATGCTTGGCAAGTGTTGCACCACCGAGCTACATCCCCAGGACTTTGTATCTTTTATTTGATCAAAGGCATTGCCAACTTAACTACATTGACCCTGAACTCACTGTGTAGCCCAGACAGGCTCTGAGTTTGTGATCTTTTCTGAGTCAGCTTATTCCACAGATATAATTGGATATAAGTGTATATGCTGAGGGAAAGAGAGGGGTGGAGGGCCTCATGGGATAATAACCAAGAAAAGTGTGAAAGGGAGTATTCATGAAGTGACGTGTCCATGGGGGCCCTTTCAGGATGTTCTACCTCTGACCTAGAAAATCAAAATACATAAATACATTTCAATTACTGACCTTTTCACGGTACACAGAATGAGTCCTGATGCTCTAAGTTTTAAGCTTAGACTATAGAATTATTTAAATTATTTAGTATTTTCTCTTAAGAACCTCTGTGCTAGAAGCCATCTTGTCACTTTTACTTCTTAAAAGTTTTATCTTCACCCACCTGTTCATGGTCCTTCTTTTTATAAATATGGAGAATATCTATAAAACAGATTTTAGATACATAACCTTTGGGATCATTAATTTATCTAGATTCTTTTGTGTTTATATCTTAAAATTTACTATATTTTACCCTCAACAATTTGTATTAGTTTGATCCAGGGATGAAATCTAATGAGCATTTAAGTCAGAAGATTGATTTCTGTGTCTCAATTTTTCCAAACCTGTCCACTCACCTGCCTACGTTTGCTTTGGTAGGAAAATCCAGTGTGGAACTACTTGTAAAATATTCATATAGCGTTAAAAACAGTTTTTGAAGCAATGAGATGCTATGAGAAATGTAAACAGAACCATGTTTCTGAGTGATTGAGTGAGACACCCGAGTGAGTAAAAGGTTGGCCACATAGGCAACGGCAACAGGGAAGCTGCAAAACAATCCCATAGCAGTTAAGAATAGATAATAAAAAAGGTTATTTATTTGAGGGGAAAAACTTACAGGTCACTGTCCCAAACAACAGTCCTCTTATTGCAAACAGAAAACAGAGTCTAGCCGCCAGAAAGGGAGCCAGAAGCAAGAGCAAGGGTGTCTGTCTGCTGCATTTTAAAGTATAAGAGACCACGCCCCACTGGGTTGGTATCTTAAAGGCTATTGTCTGAAGGAACAGAAGAGGTTCCTGCAGCACAATAGTGCAAGATTAGAAAGGGAATTTGTTTCTTCTAAAAAAAAAAATTGCTACTGGCAAACAAACCTAAAACAAAAGTTCAAAATTGAAATATTTTATTTATAGAAAATGTGCTGATTCTGATAACATTTGCAACAATAGATATGTGTGAACCTTCATGTGAGTAACACTGTGATCGATTTTATTGCTTTTTTCCCTTCTTTAGTGTATGCCAATCAAAGGCCTAGGATTCGTGCTTGGGGCCTATCAGTGCGTCTGCAAAGCAGGATTCTATCATCCCCGTGTCTTCTCAGTGAACAACTTCCAGAGTAAGTGCTCTTTGCTCTGTGCATGTGCCTGCACACACACAACACACCTGTTGACAGTCCTTCAGATTCTCCTTTAACCTTGTTGACCTTACAAGTCAAATCCACATCAGCTCGGCCTTCTCGAATCACTTAAAGGATTTTTATTTGGGTTTGGAATTTTCAGTGCTGGGGCAAGTGTGCACAAAGACACAGGTTAGTTTCTGAAAACTGTTACTAGAAAGTTTCTAGAACTCATTCTGCCCATTTATTTTATTTGTGCATATGTTACTTTCCAACCATGCGTGGAAAGTTATCAGTGAGCAGCTTAGCATCACACATTCCTTATCACCCAATTTCCATTGTTCAAGTTGCTGCTTATAGAGGAGTGAAATGCTCTACTCAGAGTCTCACCAAATTAAGATTTCACTGGTGTGATTTCTGAGACTGCGGGCAGGCCTTAAAGCCTCCCAGATTGTCTGAGGAGTCCAGATGTCCCAACAGGAGCTCCCTATTTCCTGGCTGAGCGTTTGCCTGGAGCTTCTCCCACTTCTAAAGGTTGTGCCGAGGCCGGTCGTGTGTTGCTCGCACATTTCCACTCACCCTCTGACAGTCACCAGAAGAATCTCTCATCCTGCTCACCCTACCTCCTCTCACATAACACAGCTGTGACAGCTGCGGGTGTGATTCTTCTCTCTCTTCGCTATACAATGTCCACAGTCAGAGGAGAGATGCAACCCTCATAACTGGAGGCCCATTCACATCCAAGGTGGGATTATACAGGGTTCATTCACCAGCAATGAAACTTCATCATCTGCTCACTTTCTATCTACTCCAGAGAACGTTAGTGTTGTGATTTAAATACTGAGCTTTGTTCTCTGTAATACAGAGAATTCCATATGGCCATGTTGACTTGTAGGCAGCTACAAATATACTGATAAAAGGAGTGTAGTTGGTAAAAATGTGGGGATTTCATGGGAAATTGGATTTAGAGACCACTAAGAATTAGGCCCATGTCTCTTTCACAGTTATCTTTGATACTCTGCTACTGCTATGTGTGGCAATTTGCATCTCTAGTAGGCATTATTAAAGGGTGCATTTGGGGCTCTGCCTGGCAGCTTGCCTCTATAAGCTTTGGTAGACATTTATAGGTTTATTAATAGATGGCTTTCTTTTTCTTCGGAAACCTCATTCTTGGGTCTTGAATCTATTTACATTTTACTTCTTGGTTCCCCAGTCATGTATAACTCTTATTCTGAGTAATAGGTAGAAGTTTGGAAGGTTCCATCTTCCACATACATATCCTGGGTTTATGGGGGATGGGGTCTGTAAGCACAATGAGAGTCAGTCCCCCTGCTTAGAGACAAGGTGGTGGTGGCAAAGCTACGTCTGGTTATGCTGTGACATAAGGCTGACACTGTTGTGGAAGATGGAGAGGAAGGGAAGGAGGACACACACACACACACACACACACACACACACACACTGAGAAACACACACAGATAGAGAGAAAGGAGAGAAGGGAGGAAACAGAGAGACAGACAGAGACAGAGAGACACAGAAAGAGAAAGAGAGATGCACAGGGAGACTTGTACTGACTTGAAGAAATAAGAAAGTTTGCAGTGAGAACGTAGACTGGGACTTGAAGAAGTCTCACTGGCAGCCTGAAGAAGACAGGGATTCAGCTTTGTATTATAACCCAAGCTCTCAGTGAGAGTGTGACCTAACCAGATATCCTGACACCAGCTTGAGCAGATCTGCAGCTTGAAACCTAGGTGTACTCTGAATTCTAATCATCAGAAGCAAGGAAACAACAAGCAAACATTTCAAGCCTTTGGGTTTCTAATAGTTCCTTTGTGGCCATAGAAAGCTTACAATAACCGTGCTGATAATGTTTTCAGGATGTTGACGCTTTTCTGGAGAGAGAGAGAGAGAGAGTGTGTGTGTGTGTGTGTGTGTGTGTGTGTGTGTAAGCCCAGCCACCACAGTGCCAGAGCTACCATGGCATTCTTCACAGCTCTGGTCCAGACATAACTTATGATTCAGCACTGAAGGGGAAGGGGTAGGTTTAGCTTGTGTCGTGTGAAGGTATTTGGTATTTTGTGTCTGGTTTACCCACATTTGTTCTCAGCTCCCACTGTGTGACTGAAATAAAACATCTAAATATTATGGGAGCATAAAATGACTGTGCCACTTGCTTATAACACTACCAGGAGGAACTGGCTAACCTTTAACAACTTAGCTTTGTTTAATTTGCACACTCCTACTTTTCCCCTTATTTTAAAAGCTGAGTTTTTGCTTTTTTTTTATTTTAAATTATAGGCTGGCCTCACTCTCTGAGAACAAGCTGATTTTATTTTAGTCTTTTATGTCTACCTCCCATGTTGTGCACACTGTTTCTGGAGAGAGGAGGTCATAGTTTTTAGAAGTTGATCTATAGTTGAGTATAGCTTTGACCTCAGCATATACTTAACTGTGACTGACTTTGCTTAGCAACAGAGCAGGAAGTCAGTTATTGTTATGATTTGAAGCCCAGAAAGTACTTTTAGACCAAATATATCTTTCTTGATGGCCTTGTCAGGCTGCATGAAAATCCAACATTTAATCACTTCCTTTCTGAAAGAAAACGTCTAGCACTCTGACCAGGAAAATGAATATTAATCAACCAAGATCTTCGCAGGCATTCATTACACTCCTTATTAAGTCTTAGAATATACCACATGACTGTACATTATAACATGCTAATTTTAGTCATTAATGATTTAATCACAGTAGTTCAAAAAATTATAGGAGAAATTACTTTCATACCTTTAAAATGTATTATCTAAAATCAGCACAAAAAATGGGCTTCATTGTAGCCCTTTAATACACAAACATTTGTTTATGTATGAAAATCTATTGTCCTCTTTTGCTGTCTTTCTTCCCCCACTGATCCCCTTGCTCCCCAAACAGCCTCTCCTTTGCTTTAATGTTATCTGTAATATATATGTACATAAAATCTGGATTCTGCATAAGACAACATGTGGTATTTACCTTTTCCTCCATTACTCTCTTGCTTCTCCCTCTTCTCATTAGCTCCCCCTCATCCCCATACATGGGAAATTTTCTACTTTCATGTCATATAGATGTCATATTCATATATACATGTATGTTCTACATTCTGCATATTAAAATATGGTATTTGTCTTTTTGAATGTGACTTTTTTCTATTTTTTTCTTGAAGTGATTTTCATTTAGTAAGGAATGACCTTGTGTAATCTTTGGGTCAAACACAAAGAAGATATTGAAGACCTGAAATATGAGAGAAGATGTAAAGTCTCCAGCCAAGGTCATGGCATATAATAAGTAGTCTATAGAAATATTTGGGTGAATATATATGTGTATGTATATGTATATATATATCAATACTACTGATGATACATATAATGAGATAATCCTTAAGACCCATTAGCACTATATTTCAAATTTTGTGTTATGCTGGGATGACTAGTGACTTAAGCTAGAACTTTGGAGAATGAGTTGTATCTGAAGGAAGATGTGACTTCCGAGTCTGTAGCAATGATGGCCATGAGAGGAGGGCACTAAGACGGAACAAGCAGGATTCCGGAGGTTTCAGAGGGAACCTGGCTCGTTACCGATAGAGAGGACAAGCCCTAGAAAGCAGGAAGACTGCCCTGCCAAGGTAACATTTACTGAGGTCTTGGAAAGGATTCCACATTCCCACATGCAGTCTATTTGCTCTCTGGAGAGCGGACTTTTAGTGTGGTCCCGATCTTTTGCATAAAATGCAAACATAAGTATTAAAAATGCCTTCGAAATGTGAAACGGTATAAGAACCTTTATTTAGACATAAGTACACAGTAGGCAGGGCTTTGTAAGACCAACCACAGTATGCATAAATGACGTGATTTGAAATTAAGCTGGCAGCCCAGAGGCCTGGGTCCAGGCATCTCTTGGGAAAGCGGTAGTCATGTGAGTTAATGGGAGCTGACATCTGTGGAGAGCCCAGTTTCAGAAAGACCAGGTCCTGAGGAACAGCTGCCTCCTCAGGTCCAGGCTGTTCACTTCCAGGGTGATGCAATGCAAACTCATGATGTTCCCACCCTCTCCACCCTAGATTCATCCCTATTAGTATGGACTCCATCTCCAAGAACACCCCTGTTCTCTGTGGATTACTACCAGTTTTTTGCTTATATTTCTTATCTTTCAGACTGACTGCAGTTTGGGTATCTTTCCAAATGAATGCTAAGTTACCGATGACCCATAACTAAAGATTGCAATCTGCAATTTAGCCCTCCAGTGGTATTGATATGAAAAGCACATGGGACAGGAAACCGACAGGGAAAAAATTAGAGCCTTTAAAATGAGTTGTTCAGGAAGAAAAAAAGAAGCTCTTTGCAGAAGGCAAAACCCTGGACTACTGAGTGCTGAGGCAAAGAGCAGCTCTGAGTTGAGCCTTTTGCTATGTAAGAAGAGGCTGATGAGAGGCAGTAGCTGCACTGATCTGTGGGTGTAAGGATAAGTTTTAGATTGTAGTATGGGACTCTGCTGATCTAGTAAAGTGGTGTAGAAGTCTTTTCTATGACCATATAACTCCTAACCGAGGTAAAAGGTTAGGTTTCTAGTCCCATTCAGGAATGATTCCCCTCCTGTTTAGTGGGCCTTAAGTCCAATTAGACAGCTTTAGCTGTCACCAACGTGTACCTGGAATTTATTGCACTTGGATGCATATCTTGCCGTGCTGTTAATTTTTGTGGCCCATCGGTCTTGCAGCTGGGTAGAACTGTTTAATTGCTTTCCTCCCTTGGCATCAAACATAGTATTTTCTGGACCATGGAAACTAGAAAAGTCGCAAAAAAAAGGCTGCAGGTCAGATCCAGCTCCACCAGTGGTGCCAGTTTTACTTGAGACAGCTGCTTACTTTGTGACTCTGTGGTTGTGCTATCAAGTGTTTGGGTCCATTTTCATCCATGCAAGACTGCTCTGGTCACTAATCTAGATATGTGAACTCCTACCTGGAGTGT